GTCAAGTGTAAGGAGAAGGACTGCTTTATGCAAAAAGTAAACAGGAGAAAACACTCGTTCCATCTAAAACTGAACACCAGAAAGTCACAGTTCTGAATAATAAACTGTTGTTACAAAAGGAATTAATAAGCAAACATGGAACCCTGTTACACATTACACAGAGTTTACAGTAGTCCACAGCATAAAATTCTACCTTTGTTATGTCCGTCACTCTCTTTATATGCATATATACCAGTAATAATAATATCTAATGTGTGTGGTATATACGTATGTCACATATATGTATGTCCCATATATGTATGTCATGTGTATGATACGTATATGCTGGGTACTTTATATGCATTAACTTATCTAATCTTACAGTAACCCTATGAGAGGTATATTATGATCATCATTTTATAGGTGAGAAATGGAGATTTTGTAAACTATCTCAAATAATGTTAGTAAGTGTCAGAGCCAGGGTTGGGGGAAAAAAAACCCTCCCATCTGCAGTCTTAACTACTGTACTATATTGCCATTTATATTTCTAAATATTAAAGTACATTTACATAAAGGTTCATGGGAAGTCAAGGAACTTGTGATATCCTCATTTGGTTTAGTATGCTGTATACTTTAATCCTAAAGTTACTGTAGATTCCAACATGTTAATTAATGGCATGTCTCTTATATTTTCTTTCCAGAGAACAGTTGAGACATAGATGAAATTCAAGACTATAATAACCAAGGCTCGAGTAATTCCTCCCTTAAAGCAGTGCTCAGAAAAGAAACAAATTAAAATCACAGTACCTTTATTAGCTGGCCCAAGGAAATCACACTCTGAGCCCAAGTGCAAAGCTGTGGTGGGAGGGAATGTTCCCAGTGAGAACACGAATTACAGCTGATTCTCATTATCTGCAAATTCCGTATTTGAGAATTTGCTTACTTGCTAAAATGTATTTGTATCCCTGAAATCAATACTCATGAAAATTTTCCAAGACACTGGGGCACATAGGCAGAATGGTTCACGTTCTCAGCTAAGGTCAACGAAGATCACCCTCCACCTCTTGTTTCAGCTCTTACACTGTAAATGAGTGTTCTTTCTGCAGTATATCTAGTGCCCTGCTCTTCACATTTTTGTGCTTTTTGCTGATGATTTTGGTGTTTAAGATGGCCCCTAAGTAGAGTGCCAAAGTGCTACGTTGTGTATCTAAGTACAAAAAGGCTGTAATGTACCTTCCAGAGAAAGCATCTGCTGCATAACCTCCATTCAGGTGCGAGTTATAGGGCTGTTGGCCATGAGTTCAATATTAACAAATCAGCTATATATTACACAAGGTGTTTTTAGACAGAAACATACATAATACAAGGGCAGGTATTGATCTGTTAATGAAAATCCTCTGACCAGACGCAGGAACAGGGCCCCGTATTTCTCTCAGGAACAATGATTCAGTATTCTCTAATTCAGTGTTCACAGCAAACTTATAGACTATAATTGCCATGAATAAGAAGAATAGACAGTGTCTTGTTGAGGAATACTAAACAGAGTGTGTGTGTGGACTGTAAGTTATACGTAGCTTTTCTAGCTGTAGGTTACTTAGGATAAACATGAGTAGGCCACTGATGGGGACAACTCTCCCTCTCCCTCCTGGAACTATCCCCCCCCCAAGCAATAGGAATGACCATCAGGAGTAAAGATTCACAAGTAAATGACAAGAAAAGCAAAAAATACTCACTAGAATATATAAAGATGCGTGCATCAGCCCTAGGGAGGAACAGGGGGCAGAATTTAATGGCCTGCCCTGTCACCTGGGCTGGTCAGCTCAAGGAGCTTTGATGAAGCAGAAGGGGGTAAGAGAAACACATCATTGTTACCTATAAACAATCTTTTAAAATACTAGTATCATCCTAACCCCAAATTTCTCAAGGACATTATTCAACTATTAAAGTGAAATTATGCATAACCTAGGACATTTTTTTAGGAAAATTCCCAAGACTTTTTCCCCTTAATACTTGAAAAGTATTCAGAGAACTTTGGTCAATAAAATCTTGTTAATAAAATTTAGAATATGAAATTAAATGCATAGGTGATTTTTTTTTTAGAGCTGGTTGCGAAGATTTACGAAAAAGCACTGAGGGAATGCATCCCATTATAGTGATCAAAGATACCGCACATCTGGCTTCTATCTGTCCGCCACTGGCAGGGCTGGGCCCTCTCTCGAGCAGGAGCAACCCTCTCCCCAAACTTGAAAATGCCTTTGTCCTCTGATAATTACGTTCTATGATACCATCTCTATTCGGTAAGATCAACCCCCCAAGAATCAATTTCTCACTGTGTGAGTAAGGCTCTCCCAAATTATAAGTAAGGCTACAGCAGGAGGGTAAGATGCGTCTGCATGTCTATAGGCATCGTGTAATCTACAGTGTTACATCCTGTCTCAGGAAAGGTTGGATTGGATGGTTGGCAAAACCTAGACAGTATTAAAGAGTAAGACTCTGCTGGTGTGTCCGCCACACCATCCAGAGAACATACTCAGATCAGCGGGCATGAGAGTTGTAATCCTTTGGCAGATGATATTGTGCCCACCAATACCACCCTTACTGTTTTGGGGACTTCAACCTGGCACCACCTGGAGTTCTCGGCCCCAAGGTCTTGGCCAGTCAGAGAAGCCTGCTCTGAGATCCCATGTGTACCTCTGAGGCATGCTGGGCGTGGCAGGGGAGCTAATGCCTCCTAGAAGCAGTCCTCAGCCCATGACTGATGGATAACTAAGAACTGTGTGCTTTACCCGGGCTCCCAGGGTTTCATCTCCAGTTCCCAGATGAAGCTCCAGTTGACCACAGCAGTAACAGGATTGATAACACAATTCGTAACTGACTGCCTCCACTTTCCCACTCCCCTACCAAAATCTCCTTCACCTTTCCAATAAATTACTTGCATTCAAATCCTTATCTCAGAATCTTACTTCCCACAGAGTTTCTCTACAAAGGGTTCTAGTCTCTGGTCCAATTATATTTCTCATTGTATATCAAATAACTGGTTTTCTGGCTTATACATTGGTCTTCTACTAGTTCGGCTAGTGGAAATCAGTTCCCCCTGGGGCACAATAACTCTGGGTAGATGGACAAAATACAGACTGTAGACAAGCAGAGTCAAGAATTAGTCTAAAAAAATTATTACCTTGTGAGATATTCTCTCACTTACCTAGTAAATGTTTGATCTCATCTAGCATGGAGCTATATAAATCTGTTGTCAGCTTTGAGTTCCTCCCCAAAGTCAGAGAGACAGAGACAGAGAGACAGATTCACTGGGGGAATGGCATATATAATTTAATGGGTATGTAGATGTAACAGGTTCCTACAATATCAACCCTTTCAACCAAGTTACCAAGGCAGATGGGCAAGGAGACCCATGTGAGGTAGACACTGCATGTGAGAGACATGACGATGCTCATAAGAGCAAAGACATGTCAGTGGTTCTTTCTAGGTGCCAGGTGGGCTTTAGGTATCACTGTAAGAATTAAATGAGTTAGTAAACATAAAGGCACTTACTGAAAAAAAAAAGACTATAATCTACTTAGATATTTCTGGTAACTACCACTGAAGAAAAAATCCAAGCCAAAAAGAATATAGACAAAAAGTCAAAACAGTTTGATGTCACCCTGGGGAAAACTGTGGTACCGAGAAAGATCTGTGAACTGAACATCAGAGCTCAAATCCCGAGTCTACCACTTTTTAGTTTGGAGACATGAACGCCTCCAACCTCACTCCCTGTTCCATCTGTGACCTGAAGAAAGCAGGAGCAATCTCTCCGGGCTGGGGGAGACAGACACCCGGCATAAGACCTATTTAAAAAAAGGTCCTTTTCCTTTGGCTCCCGGAGAAAGGAAAGAAGAAAGTATGTTTGCTCCAATGGCCAGTGTTTTATGGCTGGATAGAGAGAGAACAGAGAGACATGCATGGATGTGAGACAGATGGTGTCCCCACCTTCCATAAGCTGGATGTGCCTTTTGATTTTTTTTCCAGTAACAGCGCCCAATTACATTATGATCATTGTCTGAGGAGAGATAGAGTCTTTCAGTAGGCTTGCACACCCAGTTCACCGGGACTGTACCGGACAGCTGTGCGGAGCTGGAGTTGGCATGCATCACCTCAGACACAGGAAGTCTTGCAAGACTGAAATAAGGGAATGATGGCAGCCCATCGCCTCGGCTGGGTGGAGCTCAGTAGACATTGTTACATTCAGCCTCGGGACTCCGTGCTGACTGACCTCTTTCTGTCTCGATCTCCCTCTGTAGTTTTTTTTTTTTTTTTTTAAGTGTCATTCAGCTCCTGTTGGGTCTCTGAGCCATCATGGAAATGGAGGGTCCATTTTTTGTGATTTTGTAAGTAAACTTTGCGTATAATCATACTGCTTTGTTTCACATAGGTAGGTAATACCTCCTTCCCCCCCAGTTTTTATTAGAGAACAATAAACATCATTTTCAACTGATCAAGTGCAGCAAAACCTGTCACTAACTTCACAGGAGCTAGTATAATCTCAGCGACCTTTTGTTGCCAGCGTACTGTGTGTTTTCACATAGCCCTAAATCAAGGGTCCAAGAAGATAAAGATCATTGCAAACCTAATTATATAATGCTTTTAGGTCTAATTGTATATTGTTTTAAGTTGATCTTCTTTTTAACAGAGTTTCCTTATTTTTTTTAATATTTTATTTATTTGTTTACTTGAGAGAGAGTGCATGAGCAGGGGGAAGGGCAGAGAGAGACAGAATCCCAAGCAGACTCCCCGAGTGCAAAAGCCCAACACAGGACTCGATCTCAGGACCCTGAGATCATGACTTGAGCTGAAACCAACAGTCAGAGGCCCAACCAAATGAGCCACCCAGGTGCCCCAGAGTTTCCTTTAAAAAAAAAGGAAAAAAAAGAAAAAAAGCAAGCAAGCAAGCAAGCAGTAGGGTGAGAAAGGCAGGCCACCGGGCTGCAGGCGGGCTGCAGGTGGCAGAGAACACGAGGAGTGCTCACCCCCACAGACGGTGCCATCCAGGTCTTCACAGCGGCGGTCATCACACTCACACGTCTTGCCGTACACCCTGCGGTCTCCTGGAGGGTAGCAGGTGCACTTGCCGCATTCACATTTACCTGCAAAACGCACAGGGGGAGCACATGGCTTAGGAGCGTCACAGAATCGGCCGGGCTTCCCAAGGACACAAGCACATGGTGAAGCCTGGTTAAACAGTTCGGCAAGTAACTTTTCTTACCTGCCTCCGGTAAGCTGAGGCCCAAGCACAAGAGCCACGGAGGCCGGGGCACTGAAGTGACACTTGTTTCATTCATTTTTGAAGACTAATTCAGTTATGAAACCCTCTGGGCATTTCATATTCAACTTCATTTGATGATACCAAAAGGTATATATTTTGACTTAATTTAGTATAATGTCATTTAAAAATGTTTTTATATATTTTTATTTTGGGTCTACTGGCCACATAAGAAAAAAAATGCTCATTGCTACATTTCAAGGTGATGTTTTAGGACTATTTATAGGCACCAGTTTTATAATTTATAGAACTCATTTTACCATGGACCGCATATCAAAGTGCATGACCTAAATACCTAAATACCTTTATTATTCTTGACTTAAAATTTTAAAGTATAAACATTTTTTGGAATGAGTTTGGTTCACAGTTTAGGAATTCCTTAACTATTATCATTATGGCTGTCATCATTATTTCTTGGGCTGTAACTATGTGTCAAACACTATAATTCTTTCAATTCCATCATTTTGTTTTCACCATTTCACTCACTGACTAGAATTATCACTATTATTTTACTAAACAGGAAACAGAGACATACCGAGGCCAAGTTCCTTTCCTATGGCAAACCAGCTCATAAGGAATAGATTCAAAATTTATATCCATCCTCATTAACCTTAAAGTTTGTGCACTTAACCATGAAGCCAGACTGCATCTTAATATACCCAATGCAGCACCACAAGGCTATGAGCAAGAAAATTCCTTTTGCCTGAGGAATTGGCACTGGTTTGGCAGACATTCAGCTGGGTGACTACCCTGAGACATCTGTTACTCTCTGTCATTAGCCCAACCATCATAATTACACACCCACTGAAATGATCATAAGATGCTTTGGGGCTGACCCTACAATGTTGTTAGTCATTCTGGTGCTGCATTTGTATCTTGTTAAAGAAATTCTGAGTTGGTAGATGATGGAAGAAAGGAAAATTAGTATTTAGAATCATATAATTTCAGAGCTGTAATTAAAGATAATCTAATGCAGTGATTCATAATCTTTTCTGGCAGAAGTGGTAGGGTCACTGTCCCTTTGAGAATCTGGTGAAAGATATTGCAATAGATAGTGTGGTTCTGGCTGCTCTTCAACCAGTCTCTCTTCCCACTTGGAGACAGGCCCAAGTTCAGCAGGAGGCAGAGTGCATCTCCTTCCCTGGTGATACTCCCTCTTCCTATGCCCTGGTGGACAGAAGAGGGACACAGTAGACACTCTTGGCCAGGACTTTGCTTCTTGCGGGTGACAGCAAAGACCCAGGGTCTGTGGCAAAGGACCACAAGCAACAGCAAGCACAGCAGTGAGCATCCAGGAGCTGAGGAACTCGGCACAAAGTAATGGCAGGATGGGCGAGTTGTTGGCAGGGCCTTGCGTCCCTGGGGTGCTGCACAAACTGGTTGTCCACGCTTGCACTCTGCGCCTAAACCCTTCTCATAAAATCCTTCTCCATCCCAGTTAATGAAGTTGGTCTCTGTTGTCCACAGAGAAGAACTCTAACTGGTAGACCTCAGATCTCTCCTTGGAAATATATACCAGCACACATTTATTTTTTTGTAAAATGTCAGGAGGATCCATGACTTCCCACAGTTTATTTAACAGATGAGAAAACCCAACCAAGCTGATGTTGAATGATCTGTCTAAGGCCAGTGAAGTAGACATTAGCAGGGTTGGTGCTGGAACCCGTTTTTCCTGATCCCCAGTGACCTTCTGGTTTCCATAAACATATGTGCCATCATCATGGGGTGTGTGTGTGAATGACAACAAAAATCCGGACTCTGGAGACACAGACTAACTATACAATCTTATCAGCAGTACAACCGCGTACGGTTAACTAGTCCTTCATGAGCAGATACAGGAAACATCAACCACATTATTCCTGAGAGGGAATGCAGTCCTAGTTAGCAAGTCAACATAGATTTTTAAGTTTGAGGGTGTATGTTTATGGTGACAATTTTATTAATGTTTTAAGGCATTCAGGAAGTTTCCAGGATATGGATTATTGGTTTCTGTGCCTCTTTGGAAAGGGTGATCTAAATACTGGCATACGGGGGCACCTGGGTGGTATAATCCATTAAGCATCCGACTCCTGGTTTCGGCTCAGGTCATGATCTCAGGGTCCTGAGATCGATGTCGGGCTCCATGCTGGGCATGGAGCCTGCTTGGGAGTCTCTCTCTCCCTCTCCTTCTGTCCCTCCCCACTGCTTACCCTCATGCTCTCTCTCCCTCTTAAATAAATAAATAAATAAATAAATAAATAAATAAATAAATAAATAAATAGTGGCATATATGTTCAAATATCTACATTTCATTGTTTTCATTATGGATAGTTTGTCTTGTATTTCTTCTATAAAGTTAGATTGCAAAGTGTTCATATTTGGTCGTAGGTCCATTTTTTTCCCCTAGTAGATTGTAATTCATGTATCTTTTTCAAATATCAGAGTATAATTAGTCACTTTGCAATTCTTGGTGTTTTTTTTTTTTTTGGTCATGTATCTGCTGGAGTTTTCAAAAGCTCTATCAAGCCAACTATTAGCCGAATTACTTTATAGATATAGCTCTAACACAGTTTATAGGCTGTAGTAACTTCATATGGAAAGGCAAAAAATCAAGAATCAAGACAGGCTAATGTATTACAGATAGAAAGGTAAAGAAGAGTAAATTGCTCATGCAGTCCACATTTTAAAGTGCATTATTTTGCAGTCTTAGTTCACAACTTAAGTCTAGTCACTACTTGCCAAGGTAAATTTCTACTTTACTTGCCAGGTAAGACATATAGAAGACATATACTTGCCAGGTAAATTTCTACTCATCTTTCAAGATCCAAAGTAAATGTCACCGAATCAGTGACACTTGCACCCTCCTCACACACCTGCACAAATACAGCAGAATCAACTGCCTTCTCATGTGTCCTCATGATGTTTGAATCAGTATTTATTGAATAGATGAAATAAACAATAATCACATGTGAATGGTTTAATAATAATATTCCCACAACACATAAGCTTTAATGGTTGAACTTGAATTTAGAATTGGATGTCTCTCCCAGAATACTTGCGCCTTTCCAATTGCCAGAAAGCCTTCATTTGTGTCTCCCACAGTTACATCAATGAAATCTGTCCCACAGCAAGCTCATCCTCTTTATTTACACACATACTTCTCTTCCTGTGTCCTGTTATCAGAAGGTCACCATCATTTGATCTGTCACCAAATCTTAAAAACACCTGATGACACAGTTGATTCCTTCCTTCTTTTAATGAACTATTCTTCTCCTTCCAATTTGAAATTTCATGAGATCCACTTTTTAAAAAAAGAATTAAATTCAATTAATTAACATACAATGTATTATTAGTTTCAGGTATAGAGTTCAGTGATTCATCAGTCTTATATAACATGCTCATTACATCATGTGCCCTCCTTAATGCCCATCACCCAGTTAGCCCCCCCACGCCTCTCCCTGAGATCCATTCCTTAAAACATGCCTGCGATTATGTAATGGTCTTTCATGTGATAGTCCCCGTAGACCTTCAAGTCAGAGATCAAATTCCTCAACAGAGCTCTCCACACCTGGTCCAACTCACATTTCGAAGCATATATTCGATGTTCACAGTGCACTCATGTTCAGAGACGTTGCTTTTGGCTCCATTTCTTCTCTTTGCTGTGAGCTCTGCCACTTTCTCTGTACAATCTGACCCACTGTTCGGCCAGCTCAGATCTCCTGTCCTCTATGAAACCTTCCTTGTCATCCCTATTCGGTTCCCTGGAACACGTGTTCTTTCTCTCTGATCCCACAGTAATTTGCTCATACCACTAGTAGATCACTGAATGCAAACTTCATACTGGATAAGTACATGCTTGAATCAGACCCTAAATACTGAACTTTTTGTGGTCCAGGCTGACAGTGAGATTTGTGTCCTGTTGGCAGCCAGCAAAGTTCTCTGTAGGAAACCCTGACATACAGATTTACTGTCTTTTTTAATAAGAAATTGAGTCCAATCTCTTTCATTTATTTGCTAAATGATATTATTATTTCAATGACTGCTTTAGTGTTGTAAGCTATAAATGTGGCTTCTCACATGACTATCAATATTCACATAAGTAAGAATGAAGGATAATGGAAGTTGGCATGTCTAGCACTAATAAATGCTATTTTTTTAAACAAATTGAGAGGAAAATCTAAAGAAAGATATACTCAAAGAAATACAAATAAGCCAAGTAATTTTTGAAAAGATAATTCAGGAACAGATGGAAAGGACAGAAATAACTATCTAAGAAATTAATTCAGTCAACATCATCAATATCATCCAACCAAAACTTATGTGAACTTTACACTGAGTCTGCCCATTCCTACTAAATTTTTAAAAAGCAGATAATTTTGAAGCACACACAAAAAGTCAGTCCAATGATATAATTTTATAAAGGACTGAAATCCCTATGAATTGTATTTTAAGGCTTATACATTAGCAAAGAGTAATGAACGAAGGCAGCTACCTAGAAGTTCTGATTTAAAAAGATTTTACTTAAACATTTCAAATTTGACACTTCCTTAAAATACAGAAAAACTCTAAGACAACAATGTACAGTTTATAGTGCTATGCACAACTAGTCATTTTAATAAATAAAATATACCTCACTTTAAATATCATCTTTAATTTAAAATTTCTTACACTCCCTAAGAGAGTTAAACATCTTTCGAACATGTGCATGTTTGCCTTGGAGTACATTTTTCCATAAATATCAGGTTAAAATTTAAAACTTTAATGCACTTACTCCAAAATATTTCTCATATGAAATTCAGCAAATATGAAGAATCTCTTTTGTGCAAAGCACTTGATCAGATATGG